GTGCGGCACCTGGGGCAGTGGGAAAGGCGTGTTTGTAGACTGCAGAACATCTCAACGGCAAGGGCAGGGCTCAAGTCCACAAAAAAGAGGCAGAAAAGCAGCACACAGGCTTGAATGAAAAGCGCATGAATCAAAGTACAAGATGTGGCACATTGCAGAAGTGCTGGGAGTGTGCAATGTCAAATACACGTGAACATGTCCTGCCCCACCACGCACAGCTGTGGCAAGATGGTGGCTAGGAGCCAGTGGGGAACCAAAACTTCCCCTCATCCTCATCCCCCAAAAAACTCTATAATTAGGCTAGGTATATATTGAGCAAGCAGCCCTGGTGGTGCAGTGGTTCAGCGCTCAGCTGCTAACAGAAAGGTCAGCGGTTTGAACCCACCAGCCTCTCAGTGTGAGAAAGATGTGGAAGTCTGGAAAGATTACAGCCTTGGAAACGCTCCGGGGCGGTTCTACAGAGTAGTCTGTCCCATAGTGTCACTATGAGTCGGAATCAGCTTGACGGCAATGGGTTTGGCTTTAGGATTTATGTATTGAACAGGGAGCCTTGCTGGTGCAAAGGGTTAAACACTCAGCTGCTAACTGAAAGGTTGGCAGTTTGAACCCATCCAGAAGCTCCTCAGTAGAAAGACCTGGCAATCTGCTTCCGTAAAGATCAAGCCAAGAAATCTCTATGGCATGGCTCTACTCTGTAACACATGGGATCACTATGAGTCAGAATCGACTCAACAGCAACTGAAAAAACAACATATTTTGAGCACGTGAATCGTTCTGCAATAATCATTCTGCATATTGACCACTCAGGGATACTTCTTGGAGAACTGGCCATCTCTTGAATTGACCTCCAGCAAACTTGTCTGTTTCCCACATAGAGCTGAGTCCTGAGCAGGAATCACGTGTGGAAATACACAATGACAGTATGACCCGCCACGGCTGAGGCACTCCCCGGACAAACTAGGAACTTTCTGGAAGAGGTGATTCCTGAGCAGACTCTTACAGGATGAGTGGTAAGCTCACAGAAAGGAACTTTGGTGGCACAATGGTTAAACCCTCAGCTGCTAACCAAAACGTCGGCAGTTCAAACCCACCAGCCACTCCGCAGAAGAAAGACCTGGCGATCTGCTCCTGTAAAGATTACAGCCTAGGAAACTCTAAGGGGCAATTCTACTCTGTCACACGGGGTCGCTATGAGCACACAACAACAACAAGCTCGCAGAGATGGGCATGGGTGTGGGAGGGCATTGATGCTGCGGTGTATGTGGGAAAGTGAAATAGCTCTGCCTGGTTGGGGCCTAAAATGTGGGAAGGCCCAGAGGAAGGGAAGGGACAGCAACATCCCTGTACATCTGGGACTTCCCCTGTACTGTCCTGATGAGACCTTGTACTTGTCATCATTGGCTAATTTTTGGAAGTAGATCTCCAGGCCTTTCTTCCTAGTCTGTCTTAGTCTAGAAGTTCTGCTGAAACCTGTCCACCATGGGTGACCCTACTGGTATTTGAAATACTGGTGACATAGCTTCCAGCATCACAGCAACACACAAGGTACCACGGTGTGCCACACTGACAGATGGTGGTGGTGGTCTCTCTGGCAGATCCTAGGAAAGCTTGCTCCTATCATGGATGTGGTCATGAAACAAACTTTCTCTGGTATTCTAGGGATGGGTGCATTCAGCCTGCTCCTTCACTCACTTATGTCTTCAATATTGCATCATTATCAAATATATATCGAGTTCCTATCATGCCAGGTTCGTTGGCATTCACAACCTCATTACAACTCCTGGCCTTGCTTCGGCTCTTCCTGCTGACTCGATATCTTAACTTCATTCGGCCTCCATCACCACCTCCTCCAAAAGGCCTCCCTGGGCCTCTCTCTGCCCTGCCTCTGGGCTCCATGTGCTGTTCATGTCTGCCCCAGCCGTTATCACCCTTTCTTGCAAGTGTCTGTCCTCACGTCTGCCTTACCCTCTGGACAAGTTTCCTGAGGGCAGGGGCTACATATATCCTACCAGCTGCCATCGAGTCCGCTCCAACTCATGGCGACCTTAAGTGTGTCAGAGTAGAACTGTGTTACCATAGGGTTTTAAATGGCTGATTTTTTGGAAGTAGATCACCAGGCCTTTCTTCCGAAGTACCTCTGAGTGGACTTGAACCTCCCACCTTTAGTTAGCAGCCGAGCATGTTAACTGTTTCCACCACCCAGGGACTCCACGTGTATCCTAAGAGTCTGTATTTCCAGGGCTTCCTCCTGCCCTGTATGGAAGGGTCTCCGTAGATACTTCTGGAACTGAACTCAAACTGACCTCTGGATGATGCTAGAAAGTAAGCTTGGACAAGGTAAAAATTTTCTAGCAGGGAAAGTTTGGGGGAAAGGATGAGTTTTCTACTGGATATCATTTAAGCAGAATATTTGAAAAGACTCACTCCTTCCTCCATTACACCAAAAGCCTAGATAGTGGAATCTTGACTCAGCACCAAGAAAAATAGATAGTTTCCACTTAGAGGGAATTACTGTGCATGTAACACGACCCTGCCATGTCCCTAGGTGACCCGAGGCAGGTGGCTTCACCCCCTGAACCCCACTGCACGCTTGTATGATGGTGATAGTGAGGCTCAGGCTGTCCATCTCACAGTCGCCTGCCAAATTGGTAAGTAGACTTGTGTGGATATAAATTTATTATAAATATGGACATATTTCTTCTGGGTTGTGGTGGCCTCCACACCCGTCACAGGAGATGAGGCACAGCAAAACCATCAAAGCATGGGCTTTGCTTGCAAGCGGCCATTCAAAGTACAACAATTGGTCTCTATTTGCCTGGAGCAACAGAGGAAGAAGGATGGTCAGCAACAGAAGGAGGATATGGAATGTATGGCTAATTGCCTCCATGAACAACTGCCTCCTTTGCTGTGAGACCAGGACTCGACGGTGCCTGGCTACCATTACTGAACATTTTGATCAAAGATTCTGTAGAAGAATCCTGATCAAAACGGGGGAAATGAAGAACACAATTTCAAATTCTCATAGACTCCAGACTTTCTAGAGCCAAGGGGGCTGGGTGAACCCCTGAAACTACTGCCTTAAGATAATCTTTAAAACTTAAACCAAAAATATCCCCTGAAGTCTTCTTAAAGCTAAACAATAGTGTAGCTTAACTACTAAAAAGTATCTACCTTGGGCATTATGCTCTTTTAAGAACTATCTATATGGGATCAAAGTGACAGTAGCAGCTCAAAAGGTTAGAGAAGAACCTTAGGGGGCAGTGAATTTATGTTAATGGGGAGGAGCAACTCAGAAAAGGAGGGTGAGAATGGGTGCACAACTCAAAGAATGTAATCAATATCACTGAATGGTACATGTAAAATGGTTGAATTGGCATATGTTTTTCTGTGTATATTCTCAACAGCAACAAAATAAAATTAAAAAATAAAATAAAAAAGTCTGGGCTTCAGAGATAGGCCAAGGTTTGAAACTGGCTCCATGTTGTAGTGGCTGCATAGACTTTGTCATGGATTGAATTGTGTCCCCCAAAAATGTGTCAACTTGGCTAGGCCATGATTTCCCGTATTGTGTGGTGTTCACCATTTTGAGATCTGATGTGATTACCCTATGTGTTGTAAATCCTAACCTCTATGATGTTAATGACGCAGGATTACAAGCAGTTATGCTAATGAGACAGGATATAATCTACAGGATTAGGTTGTATCTTGAGTCAATCTCTTTTGAGATATAAAAGAGAATTGAGCAGAAAGAGAGAGGGACTTCCTTCCACTAAGAAAGAAGAGCTGGGAGCAGTGCATATCCTTTGGACCCGGGGTCCCTGCACTGAGAAGCTCCTAGACCAGGGGAAGATTGATGACAAGGACCTTCCCCCAGAGCCAACAGAGAAAGAAAGTCTTCCCCTGGAGCTGGTGTCCTGAATTCAGACTTCTAGCCTCCTAAACTGTGAGAGAATAAAATTCTGTCGGTTAAAGCCATCCACTTGTTGTATTTCTGTTATAGCATCACTAGGTAACTAATACAGAACCCTGGTGGCATAGTGTTTAAGAGTTTGACTGCTAACCAAAAGGTCGGCAGTTCGAATCCACCAGCTGCTCCTTGGAAACCCTATGGGGCAGTTCTACTCTGTCCTATAGGGTTGCTATGAGTTGGAATCGACTCGATGGCAATGCGATAGGTAACTAAGACACCCTTGGAAAAGTGGCTCCATCCCTCTTTGAGCCTCAGTTCCTCAGCTGTAAAATGGGAATCATGATACTTTCACCTTGGTTTGATCAAGAGAACCAAAGGGCACAGGCGTAAAGGTCAAGCACAGAGTGGGTGCTCCCTGGCTGTGCTTTTAGTCTGGTGTAAAGAGAGGATCTGGGAGTCCTGAGGAAGGGGAAAGCCTTTCTAACTGTCAAGGACTTCACAAGGAGGGGCCAGCTGGACTAGGCCTTGTGGTGGGGAGGGGGATGTTGTTGTTGTTGTTGTTGTTAGTTGCCATCAAGTCAATTCCAACTCATGGCGACCCCATTTGTGCAGAGTAGAATTGCTCCATAGGGTTTTCAAGGCTGTGACCTTTCGGAAGCTGATTGCCAGGACTTTCTTCCAAGGTGCCTTTCAGCTAGTAGTCAAGTGCTAACTGCTTTTGCCACCCAACCACCTGGGGAGGGGGATGGGTTTCAGCATATCCTTAAGGTTGATGACATAATCACCTTTAAAATCAACTGTCCCCTCAATGAGAAGTGACTTCAGAATGGAGACCCCAAGCCCAGAGAGTCTCCAGCAGATCAGTTTACCAATATTATCAATTGCCTGAGTTTCTCATTGCAGAAACTTTCCAGTTCATAAGGCTTCTCCCCATATCATTTTGTTCCCAGCCGCTGCCCTTCTCTCTGCCTGACTGTGCCTTAACCTCTCTTCCCCTGGGAGGAGGGAGGGAGAAAGGCGGACAAGGAAGGGCTGCCCCAGGGTCACCTGAGTACTCATATAAGAGGGAGATAAGGAAATAAGGACTGACCAGTTTCTTTTTCTCCAAATCATTTTCTATGTCATCTGCCGGGTCCTTTTCCCTGGCCTTCATGGTTTATTTTTTAGATTTGAGACAAGTTTGTCTTTTTTTCCTGAAAAATAGAAAAAGAAAAGAAGTAATTAGACTCATGCTGTCACATATGGATAACTCAGGCAGGTGGCCCAGAATGGCCTTTGAAAGATTTGCTGCAAGGGGCCCTGGTGGGGCACCAGGTCAGGGGACAAGAGAGCTCTCACTTTGCTGCCAGCTCCCCAGAGACCTGGCCAAATCCCAGCCCTTCTCTGGCCTCTGTTTCTCCATTTGTGAAATGTTAGAGTAGGATTCCATCTGTGTTTTCCACACTTGTTGCATGACTTATTAAAATCACAGGCCTCTCCCTGTAATATTCTAATTTGTAGGGAATTCTTATGATGGGGCTCGTTTCGGAAACAGTTTGCTCACAAGGATGTAAAAATGAAAGCAGTGAAATTAAAACTCAGTGTTTTAAACTCAGTGAAATTAAAACTCGATCCCCCCTGTCAAAATGGAAAAAATGACCAATATTGTACACCAGCCACCAGCAGGACAGAAGTAGACAATTGTACTGCTTTTCTGAGGTCCGGTTGGAATTATGTTTCTAAAGCCATAAAAATACTTATGCCCTTTAGCTCATCTATGCCACTTACAAAAATTATCCTAAAGCAAGAATAAGAATGTGCAAAAAGGTTTAAGTCCAAGATTTTCACTACAGCATTTTTCACATTAGAAAAATGGTATTCACAATAAGAAAAACCTAACCAAATAGTTTAAAATATGCTACATCCATATAACAGAAACTCATAACATTTTACAAAAAAATCTATGTTATAAAAGAACATTTAATGCCACAGGAAAATGCTTATAACATATTCTTACTTTAGAAAAAGAGGAAGACATATTAAAGAGTATACATTATTCAACATCAAACAATACCAAATGATTCCAACTCATTGGGACCCTATAGGACAGAATAGAACTGCGTCATAGAGTTTCCAAGGAGCAGCTGGTGGATTCAAACTGCTGACCTTTTGGTTAGCAGCTAAATGCTTAACCACGGCACCACCAGGGAGCTCTGCATGAAACAATAGATGTGTCGCAGAGAGCAGCGGAGACAGGAACCATGCCATAACTTTTACAGAGAAGTGGGGCCAGGAGAGTCACTCTGAGGAGTCGACCCCCACTTCAGTCCCAGCAGTTTATTTTATAGTCAATACAGCAAGCAATAAAGCAATTAACAAAACAATGGGCTTTGGGTGCGGGCAAGGGAGAAGGAATTCAGGTAAACAAGCGAATCGGTAACAGGGCAATAGCTTTGGGAAAACAAGCCATGCCTAATCTCATTCTTATCGCTGACAAATCTCCAACATGTCGTATACAGCACAGAGGCCTGTGGGGGCTGCAGTTGTCAATAGTGCAGCCATGTTTAAATGGCATATATCCCACGTAGATGTATTTACGAATAGATGCAAGTTATTAGAGGATAGGTATATTTAAACAATGTACATGTGTTTTTAATTAAAATTAAACTTAAAATGTAATTTTTATGCAGTGAATTATTTATACAGCAAGTATTCGTTAAGCTCTTATTATTGAGGTTATGGGTGCAGTGGTTTTTCAGTGGTAGAACTCTCGTCTTCCATCCTGGAGACCCAGGTTTGAGTCCCAGCCACTGCAAATAATGTTTGTCAGTGGAAGCTTCCATGCTGCTATGATGCTGAACAGGTTTCAGTGGATCTTCTAGACTAAGATGGACTAAGAAGAAAAGCCTGGCAATCTACTTGTGAGAAATCAACCGATGAAAACCCTATGGATCGCAACAGTTGAATCCGCAACCAACCATGGGGATGGTGCAGGACCGGGCTGCATTTCATTTCATCGTGCATGGAGTGGCCATGAGTCAGGGGCTGACTCAGTGGCAGCTGACAACAGAAGCATGTAGATCATGGAGATGCAATCTTGACCAAGCTCGGCCACACCCTGCTCTCAAGGAGTTTCCATTTTAGGAGGAGAGACGATTAAGTAAGAGCGAGCGATCGGATTGCTTAGGGAGCAGGTGGGCCAGGTACACAATGGGAAGGCAGCTGGAGATCCACCAGTTTGCAGAGATGGGGAGAGGACAGATCACAAATTTATGTGCATAGAAAACAGACTGGAGGAAATAGAGCAAAACATCAATAGCAGTTACTATGCAGTGGCGTTTTAGCCAATTTTTATCATATTTTTTTAAAATAGTTTTCCAATTTTCTAAACTGAAAAAAATACTCTTATTACTAGAAAAATAAGTTATTTTAATTTCTTTAAATTAAAAAAAACTTGAAGAATTAAGCCCTAAAGGTCTTGAGTAACCTAAGAGAAGTAATGTTTGAATGTTGTGCTTCCTAAAGTAGAAAATACAATTCTGGAAAAATATGCAATTCTTATAGGATGATGGAAGAAATATGACCAGAATGGTCCTTAGAAGTGAGATTTTGACTTGTTGACCAACTTTGGACAGCTCATCAGGAAAGACCAATCGCTAGAAAAGGACATCATGTTTGGTAAAGTAGAGGAAAATGAGGGAAACCCTCAATGAGATGGATTGACACATAGCCTCAACAGTGGACTCAAACATGCAAATGATCATGAAGATGTCTTAGGACTGGGCAGTGCTTCCTTCTGTCATACGTAAGGTGGCCATGGGTTGGAGGTGACTCGACAGCAACTAACAACAAAATAGGGTGATGGGCTCTGAGCCATTGATTCAGACCCTGAAGTCATTTTAGCTGGCCTGACAAGAATATTCATTGGTGAGCTGCTGTAGCCAGCACGTTAGGGTGATATTCAAGGCTCTTCACCCAGGAACCCCAACTGTTTCATCCCAGCACACACCTGAGTACACTCCAGCCCACTGGACCTCCATTTTCCTGAAACAATGTGCATTCTCAGGGTTTTCTGCTGTGGTGTAGGCGGCCATCTTGCCTAGAATACCTTTCCACCTCCTTCTGTTTCACCTTCAAGGCTTACCTCCTCTGGTCGTCTGTCTGTTCCTTTTGGAATCAGTCTTCCTTGTGCATCGCATAAAGTATACCATTAGCTTAGCAAGAAATCAAATTGCATAGGCTGTTTTCTTGTCTGTCTGCTTACCCTTGACTATGACCTCCTCAAGCCTGAGAGCTGTAGCTTATTCATCTCTTTATCCACAGAGTCCAACATACTGCCTGGCCAGAGGAGGTGGACAGTAACCAGAATGGTGAGGTGGAGAGAAAGAGATGGGAAAAGATGAGCTCAGATGGGATGGGATGGGACAAAGAAAGCCAGAATGGCAGTATTCATGGCTGCCACACTATCCACCTCCAAGGGCTGCATTCCCATTTCAATTCATGTGAATAGCTTCCACTACAGAACTCATGGGAGGACCATTCACACAGGCAACAACGGAAATGTCCTCCTGGAGTTGCACAACACGGTAGCCTTGCAGGAACTTGAGCAAGAAGATGGTCTCCAAACCATCAGGCAAGAGACAAGATTTGAAAAGACATGGGACAAAGTGGAAGGAGCAAGGCCATTGGAGTCAGATCTGAGTCCTCTTCTAGGCTTTGCAACTGTGACCCAGGACAAGTGACTTCACCTCTGGGTCTGTTTCCTTATCAATCAACTATAGATTATTATCACTTCCTCACATTATGGTTGTCAGGTGAGGGACATTGTTGGCTTTAGCTGTCATCAAATTTGTTGCCTACTCATGGCGACCCCATGTGTTACAGATTAGAACTGTTCCATAGAGTTGCCCTAGCTATAATCTGTGAAAGCAGATCACCAGGCCTTTCTTCCACAGAGCTGCTGGGTGGGTTCGAACCACCAACCTTTAGGTTAGCAGCTGCTCACAAACCGCTTGTGCTACTCAGGCTCCTTCAGGTGACAGATAATGTATATAAAAAGCCCTGGGAGATAGCTGGCAAATCCTTGGTGCCCAATGAATGGCAGCTATCATTCACTGAGTTAGAGAAAACTTAGCAAGTAACATACTTGGGAATGGAAGGAAATGAGTTCCCTTCTTAGGCTTGAGATATTTGTGAGACATCAAAGTGTAAATATCTCTTAAAAACTCAAACTGAACTCATTGTGTTGAGTCAGTTCCAACTCATAGAGACCCTATAGGACAGAATAGAACTGTTCCATAGGTTTCCTAGGCTGTAAACCTTTACGGAAGCAGACTGCCACATCTTTCTCCCGTGGAGCATCTGGTGGGTTCAAATCGAAGAACTTTCAGTTAGGAACCGAGCGCTTTAACCACTGCACCACCAGGGTTCCTTAAATATCACTTGCCAAAACCCAAACTCATTGCTGTCAAGTCGATTACAACTTATAGCGACCCTATAGGACGAGTAAAACTGCCCCATAGGATTTCCAAAGAGCAGCTGGTGGATTCAAATTGCCAGTCTTTTGGTTAGCAGCCAAACGCTTAACTACTTGCACCACCAGGCTCCTTAAATATCACTTAGGCAGTTGGAAATAAGAGTCATGCCCAAGAAGTGGTCTGGGCTGGAGATGACTTAAACAATAATTAACGCCATGGGATTGGGGCAGATGAACCAGGGAGAGAGGGTAGAAAGAAAAAATTCCTAAGGCATTCTACCCTGTAAAAAGCAGATTGTGGCTGCTGTTGCTGATTAGCTCCCACAGTGTTGGCCCCTGATTCATGACAACCCCATCACAACAGAATGAAACGCTGCCTGGTCCTGCGGCCATCCCGTGATCACTTTTGGATCAGAGTACTGTGATCCATAGGGTTTTCTTTGGCTGATTTTTCAGAAGTAGATCACCAGGCTTTTCTTCCTAGTCCAGCTTAGTCAGCAAGCTCCACTGAAACCTATTCAGCATCATACCAACACACAAGCCTCCACTGACAGGTGATGGCTGCACATGAGGTGCAATGACCGGGAATCAAACCCAGGTCTCCTGCATGTTGTTGTTGGGTACCATCGAGCCTGTTCTGATTCATAGCGACCCTGTGTACAACAGAACAAAACACTGCCCAGTCCTGTGCCATCCTCACAATCATTACCATGCTTGAGCCCATCATTGCAGGTACTG